TTCAGGTCCCACGCATCTCCTTCCCCTCCCATTTCCACTCTCACAGTGAGGTCTGGGGATCCCAGAGTGGCCAGCGGTGAGGTGTACTTCGTGTTGGATGAGGAACAAGGGATGAGAAGGGAGAAGAACCATGACATGGAGGCTAGGACAAGGCAGGAGTGGAAACTGGGGCATCAAAGTCACTCCTCTGAGCAGCGCTCACTGAGGCTATGGAGGCTAGTCACCCTGCAGGAGCGGCACACCTGCTGGAGTGTACATTACATCTTGGTGGGTGTGGCTGCTTAAGGGCCTGTGGCACACTGGTGCAGTTACGGGGGAAGAAATAGCTCAACTACCTGCAATCTCAGGAAAGGCCACTTAGAAATGACAGTGACTTCTAAGGTCAATGCAGGACAGAAAGTGTTGCCTCCTATGTATGCACTTTACTAAATGAGGTCATTATTGGAATGATTTTAAAATAGACAGTAAAGCAGTGTCCCTGTTGGGGCTCAAAGGTTCTAGCATCTTCTATTATAAAAGCACACCAGTAAATAATCTTGCCTCCCTTAGCAGGAGAGAGTTAGGGCTTATTTACTTTTCACGATTCTGCATTTCCTCTAGAATTAGCAGAAGGTTAGCCTTGTATATAGTTCAGTAAGTCTATATAGTAAAGCGGGTCTTGGTTGCCCTTCCCCTGTTCCCTCTACCCAAGTGGTGGGATAGGGATGACCACAGCTGTGCAGAGGACAGCCTGTGGCCTACCCGCAATAGGACATTTAGCTGTCACCCATCAAGGCTCGGTTTCCTCGTATGAAACTAGTCCCAAAAATGAAATAATTCACCTGTAAGTGTGGTGAACTTACTTACACCCTGGTCACAGAAAGACTGGGATTCATCAAAGGGATCAAAGGACATGGAACTCTAACCAGGCACTTCCAGCCAATGAGGGCTCAGAGGGGGTGCTAGAGCCAGGCCATTCCTGCCCAACACGAGACCCTTGCTACCCTGCCAACAGCAGCCCTTGTCCTGTATGGCCTACCTGCCTGGCCAAGGCTTTTCCAAAACTGTACAGTCAACCCATGCTTCTTCCTCTCCCTCCCTCTCTCCCTCCCTCCCACCCTCTTTCCCGCTTTTATTTCTTCTTTCCTCAGCAGCATCCCATAACCTGAGGATCTTCCCACCTGCCCCACAGGGATTACCCTTGCATTTCTCACCCTGCCATACCATCTCTCCCAGAAGATCTGCACTAGCCCAGAATATAAAGTACTGACCATAAAAGGAAAATCCCTGGAACCACCAGCTGATTAAACCACTGGCTCTCCCTACAGCAGGAGCTTATGATAGCAACCCTCAGGACGGCTTGACCCCAGCGTCCTCAGAGGAACCTCAGGCTGTACCACTCTGCATCTAAGCACAACAGCACATCTGCTTTTCCTAGCATCATTGTGTGCTGGGAGAACGTCAAACCTCCAAAGTTTGGAGAACTTCCATATTAGCTTGGAAAAGCAGGCCTCTGCCACTCCTTATTTCAGGAAGAGAACACCAGGGGCCTGAGGAACCTTTTAAGGGAAGCTTCAGTAAGAGCCTTTCCTGAGAGAGCTGTGGGTCTTTCCTGAGAGAGCTGTGGTTTTACCAGTGTCTTGGGTCGTTTATTAGTCTTGGAGAGGGAATGACAGTCCAGGCAGTAAGGGACATTCGGAATTAACGACAACGTGCACCAGCCTGCAGCCCTCAGGCATGCCTGTGAGAGCACGTGGGCTATTGCTCAGTGACAGGTCTCGCAGCTGCGGTAGAAAACCTGTTGTGAAGGCAGCTGTAAACTCCACTCTCCTGAGATCTAAGAAGATGGTTCCAATTTGGTGACCTCAGACCTCACAGAGTGCCATCAGCACTATGATGGCTTGTGATAAAGGCATTACTGATGCTTTGCTTAGCACTGTAGAGAATCAACAGTAATTAGGTGTTTCGTAAAACTGCTTTGGAAGCATTGCTGCTTAAAGAGCAGCAAGGTTGGCTCAAAGAACTTCACAATGAAGCCCGCGGCTCGTTTTCTTTCAGAAAGCACTTCCTCCATCAAAATATGAAAGAGGAATCAGCTTGGATCTGGTTATGCACCCAGAGTCCATGGGTGTGTTTAGACCCTAGCATGTTCAGGGCTCAAGGGCAAAGCCAGGAAGAAAAGAGGCAATTCCAGAGATGGCTGCAAGCTTCATCACATCACAAGGTGAACGGTGACGGGGTACCGGCACTGAACTCAGAGTGCGACTTGTGTATGGCTGACACGGGATCCCACAAGAATGGGAGGGCCCAGCACAGCCACACCCACCACCTCTGGAGAAAGAGAAACCATATCAAACAAATGCTAGATTAAAATGCAGCTGTGATTATCTGTCCCTATCATAGTTCACCCTACTCTAACCCCTACTTCCATGTCTGTCAGACCATGTTAATCTGCCTTGCAAAGTAGGAAAAGGCATTGGCCTCCAACTGTGACCACTCGGACTCAAAAGCACAGCACTGATCCCTCCCTATCTGTCACTGTGTGTGAGCTATTTTTCTCTTAGGGACTCAGCTTCTTCACCTGAAAATGGGAATAAGACAACAAAACTCTGAGAGACAAAATACCACACATGTGAAATGTCTTAGCATTTTGCCACAACAGATTTAAAATCAATCACAATTGGTCATCTAACATGTGGCAGATACACACCCCAGAGAGCACAATCCCTGCCCCCTTATATTTATTATCTGCACTGAGATAGAAGAAAGGATCTTTTTTAATATTGCAACTGTAACAGCTTACTTTAACATTAAAAACTTTAGGCAGAACATTTTAAAAAGCAAGATAACTAAGTAATTTTTATAATAATGGTTAAATTACTAAGTATTAAGTATGCAGTTAAGATCTGATGCATGATCTGATCTAATAATTCATATCTGATTGGGCATTATTTGAATGCTTTAAGCTGATTACTCTGTCTATTCTTCTATGATGAGGAACTATTTCTCTCCCATTGTACAGATCAGGACACTAAAGCCCAATGAAGTCCAATATCTTGTACAAAGTAACAACATCCCATTGAAGCAGCAAGGCCTGCACTTATTTACAGGCAATCTGACTTCCCAAAATACATTGTAGTACAAGCTAGCTAGAGATGGGACCTCTGGGGCTGGCAAAGTTCTATTTCTTGACTTGGGTGGTATTTGTAACAGGTTTGATTCATGTGTGTTTCTGAATTGGCTTTGTTTTATTTAGAATGATTTAAAATTATAATACTAGTAAATCAAAGTTTGCCCTTTGATGATCTGAGAAAAGACTGGGTATGTGTTTTGTATGTCATGTTTTCCAACCACAGATATGGGTTGATGTTAATGCAGTATTATGACAATATTTGTTTCAACTCTTTATAGTGGTGGCTTAGGAGCAAATGAAAAATTATATTTTTAATTGCGGTAGTAGGTACGTTTTTCCCAGGGTCCCCCAGGGAGAAAGAGGAATGCGTGTAAGGGACACTTTTATTGTGGCATTTGGGATCCTACCTCTCTTTTGTCCTGAATTTTTGTAAATGATTTTATGTTCCTCTCCACTTTGTCATTTACATTCTCCTATGATTTCTCTTTCTCTTAACCTTTTCCTTTGATTAACTTTACTCTTTAAAAGCATTTGCTTATTTTTTACTCTTTAAAAGTATTTGCTTATTTTTGTTTTATATGTGTGAGTTTTTGCCTGCAGGTTGGCACTGGGAACCAAACCTGGGTCCTCTGTAACAGCAGCAAACACTCTTAACCACTAAGCCATCTCTCCAGTCCCAGCTTGAGTTTCCTCTTACCCCATCCTGGTAACCATCTCCCTCCGCCGCTCTCCTGGTCTACAAAATTTAAGAAACATTTCTTATGGGTTTTATTTAATATTATAGTAGATTGTAGTGGGTAGCCATTCCAGCTTGGATCTGGAAGTTCCAACCCCCATTAAGACTCTGGCAACTGTCACGCCTACGAGGCAGGGCCAGGGGAGGCACCTGGAGACCCAAGATCTGGATGGGCCAGTGCTCTCTCTGGGCCGGGACCCTGAACGGTGGAGGTGGACCGAGCAGAGCTCCAGAGAACACTGCTGGACTGCGATACAACTTCCCCAGACCCTGCGACCTGCCTATCCCTTAATTTGTGAGTTACACCATTCAATAAATATCCTTTTAACTACGTGGAGTGGCCTTAATAATTTCACCAATAGTAGATTGCTTAGTGTTTATTAAGAATGTCTCTGTGGTTAGTCATGGTGGCACATTCCTGAAATCCCAGCACTCAGGAATTAAGTCAGAAAGTTGAAAGTTCAAGCCTAGGCTGGGCTACACAGTGTGAAACTGTTTCAGTAAAAAAGTTGAGTAGCTGGTGTACAACTTTCTTTCCACTACAAAAATCAAAAGAAAAATGCACAAGCCAGGGCCATTTAACCTATCATACACTAGCTCAGGCTTTCTAATTAAGAAGCTCTACTACTGGAGCATCTATGCAGAGAGACCCAGCACTGCATGAAAAGATGGCCCCTTGGAGGCTACATTGCAAGAAGCTAGAAAGAACATTCTCCATTTTCAGAATCTCTAAATCCTAACTCCAAAATGGAATCAATCTCTAATGTAAGTACATTTGTACTTACATTAAATTTGTAAAACAGACTAAAAATATGATTACAGGCAGGAAAGTGATAAAATATCCCCTGTCCCTGTGAAAGAGACACCTGCAGCACTTACTGGGCAGTGTAAAGAGGGACTCCTCAGTGGGCAGATGCTGCAGTGTGCATCACAGCCTGCCCTTTCCCTGGTCAGAGTCTGCTCATTTCATGGGGTCTACCTGCCCCAAGCCCTGTAAATGAAAGACTTATTACATGGAGCCAGTAGAGAGTTTCTGGTACTCCTAAGCTTCCTGATACCAACTCCAGGTTCAAGACTTCCTCTGCTCTTTCTTAGCCCAAGTCCAGTCAGCACCTCGGACAGCAACATCTCTCTGGCTGGAGCAGGAGGTACCTGTTGGTTTGCTCTGTAAGCAGGCGGGGCTCCTCTGTCCCTCATTTCTGGCTCTGCTCCTGAGAACACCATTTCTTCCTCCTGTTCCTCACTCTCCTCAGAACAGGAATCAAATACATCAGCATAATACTCTTCAGCAACAAGTGGGTCTTCTGGGATCCCTGAAATAGAGAATAAGCAACAATTGCAGTCATTGAAGTCCTAACGCGGTGAGCTGGGGCCCTGGTGTGTCCTCAGAGACCAGCACTGAGAAAGCTTCCTTGCAGCACAGTGCTGACTCTTAGTTTCCTGAAAGTATCCGCTAGATATAATCAGCACTTGGCAAAATTAACCCAGTAGAAAGAGGGACACTAACCTTTGAAGTTAGGAGAACAAAACCATGGGACAAGAGTAAATGAGCTCCTTTGTAGCTTTTACATGAGTCCTTATTAAAAACTAAGGTGTCAGGAGAAAAACAAAGATGAGAGACCACAGCAAGGTCTTGTTATGCAACACACAAAACTTTGTAGCTGAGACAGTGGGAAGGAGACTGTGTTAATATTCTTCTGGAAGTTTCTTTTAAGAAAAAGGAAAGGAAAGGAAGAAAATGCCTGTAGTGAGACAAAATAAGATGGACAGGATGAAAACAATGACATTTGGCCAAACTGAGGAAGATATCACAACTCTTTTCTAAGAGGCTCTGGATTCAGGTTTTCAAATGGAGTTTGCTATGGTGGGCTATATTCACACCCATATTAAGCGTTTATTTAAAAGAAAAAAGGAAAGGGAAGATTATCTGTGTAAACTGATTTTAATAACCCAAGTTACTTGGCAGGGCATCACTAGTGACTAAAACAGAGCTGGTGCCTATAAGAATATCAACAAAGAAAGGCCAAGAGTGGGTTCCAGGGGCACAACATCCTAAACTCTAATCCACCAATGAGGACTAGCAATAGACAAATATCCCCCCCAGGGGAGATTACATAATGATACTCTACTGCAAGCCGGAGTAGGCTTTGTACCACTCTGACTTATAAACAGAATTACTGTTCTTACTTGTAACACAGAGTACTGTTTGTTTTTTTTTTTAATCCATTGTTACTGTTTTCTATCTGGCGGGGAATTGTGGCATTCAGGGTCAGAGGATTGGGGAAGTGTGGCATTCAGGGTCAGAGGATTGCAGTCTGACTCAACCTCTGCCTACTTGTATATAAAACTCTGGGCAAGATGCTTCCATTTACAGAGCTCAGGTTTTGTCAGTAAAACTACCATAAGGGTACTCTAGTCATGCAACCAAGAGACCCCATCATAAGCTACTTATGAAAGCATCTGTGCACACGGAAATGTCACAGAACTTCCACCCAATTTCTATACCTGTAAAAAAAATGGGATTTTTATTAACTGACTCTAGGATCTTTTGAAATAGAACACTAGCTGTAGACTTCCCAGCAAAAGAAGACTTAAAAATTTAAAATTACACTTCATCTTTTGGGAGTTTTTGGCACACCGCTGTATGCATGTAGAGGTGAGATGTCAATGTGTGTGGGGCAGCTCTCTCCTTCCACCATGTAGGGCCTGGAGATCAAAGCCCATCATAGGCTCCCCTGCTGAGCTATCAGGCCAGTTCCCAAAGGAAGACTTTACAATCTTCTCGTTATCTACACTTTCTCTGCAAAAAGCAAGAGGCTACAAAATGAGATCAAAATTAGCTCAATGGCAAAAATTCTATATATTCCCAACAGTCTTTGATGGTTCTTAGGGTAGGACTTATCGCTCTGTCACCTCAACCCCGCCAGGGTGAGCTGCGCCACAGCATGAGACACACATGAGAATCAAAATCTGCCAGAGGATCTTGGGCTTCACCACCAAGTAGCCTGTGATGAGAGACTGGTGGGCAGAACCACATGCTTCCCACATAACTCCCCCTTTGCTCCTTCCCCCCCACACCCTGAACCCCATCTCTCTGTCAGAACTGTCTGTTCTCTCATTCCCTCCTCCTTCCCCTGCTTCCCAAATCTCTCCACCTCCTTTATGGTTATTTATCCGTTCACTTTTTCATATTTCCCCCTTCTGCTCCCCCCATTCTCATCTCTCCTTTACCTCCTTTGCTTTCAAATTTGAATTATGACACAGTAAAGATTATTTGCATCATTGTCCAGTTCGCAGGAGTGTGCCTATATCATGTACACACTTAAAATCTTTAGGATTAAAACAGAATTTCCAGGAATAAAGACTTATCTACTCAAACTACATGTGACATTCTGGTATTTTCCATGCTGGTCAGTATTTCAAAATGCTGTTTGCAACTCACAAACAGTGACTTCTCAGTTCACAGCTTGAAACACACTGGTTTAGAATGGTGGCTTCTGCATCAAAAAGATCCTCATGTATGTCAACACTAACAGTGGTTCCACAACACTGGGTACCAACTTAACTTTGTGCATTTAGGTTTTCTCATCTATAAAACATAGATGATTATCTGCTTCTGGGATTATTGTAATAATCAATAGTATAACAGAAACAAGGTATTATGCACCATGTTATGGTACTTTAATCAATTAACATCAGCTGCTATCAAAGCTGTATAATGTGGCAAAATCTTAATTTTGCCTGTTAATACCCAACACCAGGAAGAACTATATCAGGCAATCATAATTATATACCAAATGTGAAATGTTCATTATTTTAAATATAATCAGTCGGTATGGATTTTCATAACTGACTCAAAGGCACAGTAAGAAATGATGTCCCAATGGCTTTCTTTCTGCTGGCCTCCACAGGGACACAAGGATACTTCATTTCCTCCCATCATCTGCCTGGTCCACAAAGGCCTCTGAGTTCTCTTCAAATAGCTCAGGAAGACGTGGGATTCTATGGTGAAAGGCCAGCTAGTCAAATTGCAGACTTCACAGATTATATGGTCTTTATTACAGTTATCAGTATTGACTGCAATATCAAATATTTGATATCAATATTCAAATGAAGAGTGTGGCTGTGTTTCCACAAACCTGGCCAGGTCATATCTGTACCACCCGGGCATTTTTCTCTTGCAACAAAACAAAACGTTTCCCTCTTCCCATAACAGGGTTCACTGTGCACCAAGAGCCCTGGTTCCTTACCCTCTCAGACCTATGATTTAAGAAGGAAAAGAATGATCACAGGGCCAGATTTATGCTCCCTGTGTGTGATTCGTGGGACAGACTGGGATGGCTCTGTCTGCGGTGTCTCCTGAGTACACTGCACTACCTTGGTGCTGCTTAGAAACGGAATTGTTTTCAAAAGAGAAAATCAAAACAAATGTAAGCCTGCTTCAACTGTGTTTGTCAAGCTGCGTGGTTTTTTGTAGTGAGCCCAATTTGAAGCCTCGTTCAGCTAAGGCTCATTTCTCCTGTCACTGAGGGAAAAACAGACTGTGATAAATAGCTTTAATTTCCTCACACCCCGAAGTCAGCCTCATAACAGATGCAACTGGAATGGCATTCCAAATTTCTTCTATGCTGGGTGGGCAGAAACGGGGCATACTTATGAAGGAATCCAATAATGGTTGCCCAAGCTTGGACACCAGTGTTACAAATCCATACTGGATGGAAAGAGAAGCTATTACCTAGTTCCACAGAAAGGGTGGCCTTTGTCAGATCCTTCAGTCAAGACCCGGATAAATCCCTTCTAAGATGACTGAGTACTGGGGTCACCTATAGAACTCGCTAATTAACACACAGTAGCACTAGGTCCCAACCCCCCAAAATGCTGATTTGGTAGTTCTGGGTAGCACCTGAGAGTGCTTATTTATTTATTCAATGTGTATGTGC